TTTTTTCTCTCCACCTCATGCAACTAACCTTTTCCCCCTGACTAGCTCTAGTCGTATTTTCCGACCACGCAGCTCTAATCTTTTAGGATGTCACTTGTGATCATACATCTACTGCTGCCTTTCTGCTGTCTGCTCCTCTTCTACCTTTCCTCTACCCTGCTGCTTTCCTCACCCCTGCTCATCGCCATGCTGGCCTGAACCTGATTTTGGGGTTGTTACCGGGCTTCCTCTGGACCCTCGCTGTGATCAGGAGATATCACAGTTTCTGGGTCACTTCTGTCACAAACCAAATGCCATTCAAGGGGGGGGCTGACCTTTCTAGTGGCTGATGCTGGAGCAGGCATACTCCATGCGGGTTGTCACCCCTGTGGTTCCAACCACAAACGCACATTCGGTTGTATTCCCGTTATCTCTTTTATTCATTGCTATACATGTTAAAATAATACGCATGAATGTAGCTGGAACAAAAATAGCTGATGTATGACATCTTGGCTAAGCTCAGGACTGTGACAGGCCTAAGTGCTAGCTGCAGACACATGGTATATCAGATCTCAGTAGAAGGAACTCCAGATATGCTTCCTGGATTTATTTGAATGCAGCGGGTTATGCAGCAAGTGCCACTGTTTTCACAAATGGGAGCTTAGCTCTAAATGAAATACGTCAATCAGCAAGAAGCCAAGTCAACAGCTTTCTCTTTAAAATACTGTTGCATACCATTTCTATTGCCAAGCTGCTCATTTCAACTAAGAGCATGTTGAGTTGCTCATTTAAAGCTACTGGCCAGACATTGGTTGCATGTGATCTTTGATTTTTGCAGGCAGTGCAGAGCTTTAAAATTTTGTTGTTGTTGTTTTTTTTTAAAGCTCCCGTTCGTGTCTTGTCCCATAAAGCCAATGAGTCATAGGAAACTAAATTATCCTCCCCCACCCTTCAGTGTGGATTTATTTGTCATAGTTGTTCAGTTTCCCTCAAACATACCATCTGTCCTCCATCATGTCAATCAAAAATCCACCGCGTTGCCATTTAAAATCCCCCCAACCATTTTTCTCATGATCTATTGTTGTTTTTAAATAACAGCCTCTGATTAGCGGGTAGAGCTTCCTAAAAATAAAAATGAAGTCTGTTCGCGTCTTCCTCGGCTCAGAGAAGAGAGACCGCTTTTTCCCAGTGCTGTTATTCAAGCCCTCACAACAAAAAAATAAATAAAAAATGTAAAATCTTTTTTGTTGTTGTTGTTTTCTCTTTTCTTTCTTTCCTTCTTTTTTTTTTTTTTACATTTCATACTGGCTGTTTGGACTCTTCCTGGATATAATTTTATTTATTTCCATGCTGTGATGTCTGGCTGGCTGAGGGAGGCTGAGAGGATCCTTACTAAAAGCACTATGCTGCCTGCGGCAGAAACAGGCCAGAGCTCTCTTCACATAAATAACACAGGAGTGTGGAGAAAGTCCTTTTGGTGGTCTGCTAGAGGGATAGAACCAGCTCTTCCAGGTTCTCTCCTTTTTTCATTCTCTGTGTCTCAGTGGTCTATCTATGAGCTTGGATGAAGAAGCATAAAACAGCAGGATGTGGAAGAGATTGGTCCAAGATGTACATCTGAGTGGATAGTGGACTTCCAATAGCCTGCAGGCTGAGACCAGACAGAGTGGATGCTGTGAACTGCATCAAACTAATCTGACACATGGGAGTCCCAGATTTAAGAACTGTAACCAGTATTATAATAAGGTGTAACTAAATCACCTTACACATCATTTCTTTTTAATGTTGCAACAGCAAAAAATGATGAATAATATGATCTCAATTTTCCTCTTAAACTTTTTATTAACATGTGCATATATTGTATTCAGGTTTTTAAACTTTTGAGGTTTCCACATTTTATGGTCTTCTCATAATGCATTTAATTATTTTTTTAGTGTGTTGAGAGCATTAAGTGTGTTTTGTTAATTTATTAAAAGAAAAAAAAACATCTTTATTAGGTATTCAGATTCTTCGCTCAGTGCTTGATTAAAGCACCACTGGAAGCAACTGCAGCCACCGTTCTTCGTGGGAAAGATCCTACAAACTTGGAATCTCTTTTCTCCCTTTCTTGACAGAATTGTTTAAAGTCAATTATGTTGGGTTGGGAGTGCTGTTATGCAGCCATTTCCAGGTCTATAAATGCTCCTTTGGGGTTCAGGTGCAGACTTCACACAGTTTTCCCAAAACCACTGCTGTGTTTTTCTCTGTGCTATGCTTTGGGTCATCTTCTTGAAATGAAACCTTTGGTAACCTGAGACCCTGAGCACTTGGGATCGAGCTATATATTTCGGTTTCCCTGTTTCCCTCTATCGTGACTAGTCGCTCATAGCACAATTCCACCACTACTGTGTTTGACTGTAAGATGATATTAATGAGGTTATGCTCAGTGGCCTGTCTCCTCTATGCCATTGAGAACTGAGAACAGAAAGATCAAAATTTTTTTCATGGTCTGGAAGTCGAACTGCCTTTTGGCAAATCTGGGAACACAAAGTGTGCTGGCTTAGCCTCTGAGGGAAATGTTTGTATCCTTTGATCACTGTTTAGAAATGCAAAAAACAAGCAATACCAGTATAAACAAGTGATGGTTTTTGCATAAATTGTTACAAATGCCGACCCTTTTACTTTTCACATGGACCACTAGCCTCTTTGAAAGCAAAACCTGCTCAAATGTGTCTAGTCAATAGCCCCTGGACTACCAGAAAACTTCCTGAACTGCTTGACTTTTACCTACAGATTCTACATATTCATATGCAGAATCTCATCCTGGTGATTATCTTTTAGAAAACTCCCAGTGGGCTGTCATGTGTCTTTTAGTGAAGCATGGATTTCATCATGCCACTCTACCACAAAGCCATAATTGATAAAGTGCTGCACTGAGAGCTGTTCTGCACTAAGCTACTCCCATCTTCAAAAAGCAAATGGGTGGAAAGGTCTGGGGAGACTGTTGGTGGTTACAAACTTCTTCCACCGAGCTCCTGGGCACTTGACATAATCATGTCAAATATTTCTATGGCAAATTGCTCTACACACTTTAGAATGTATCACCCCATTGATAATTCTTTGGATCACTTGGCTCTCACTCTGACACACACAGTCAACTGGGGGACTTTATATAAACAGGTGTGCTTTTCATTTTGGTGAATTAGAGTTCTGTGAGGCGTTAGGTGGATTCCAGTCAGGTTTAGGAGCATCTCAAAGACCCCTCATAGAGGCTGATGTATTACAGTTCCAGTTTACTATGCTAATGGAGTATTTTTGTCTTTTATTTTCACAAATTAACAAATTACTTTGAAAACTTCGTATTACCTTACCTTGGAGTACAGGAAGAAGAGACCCCCCCATCCCCTCCCCAAATAAATAAGTAACTAGTAACTATTAATTTTAATTTTAAGAAAATTTGGAAACTTACAACTTACAACTTTTTGAATAATCTATATATTGTCAATGGGTTTTTTTCCAGTGCAAAAAATAAAGAATGTGTAGTTTTGTTTTTGCTGTATGCCACTTGAGGATCAAATTTCTCCAGAACACGGGTGTTACCAGCCCCTGGAAGTGACCTCTCCAAACTGGCCTTATTTGGAGAGCACTCGAGTGCCCCATTGTTGTGACAGGAACAATGACTCTAACAGGGGTGGGAGAGAAAACACAAAATACAGACGTCTGGCTCTTAAAAATCATCAGATGGAAACTAGTTTTTCTATATTTGCACTCACATCATGGAAATCTGGTCACCTGACACTGATGCCGTGGCTCGCCTTTGAAGTCCGTTTTAAAAAAAAGCTTTATTTAGTGCACATTGTGTGCAGAACCTAATTTATAGGAGCTGACCCTGGCTACTCTTTTGTGCAACAACCACCTTGGAAAACAATGGCAGGAAGGCTTGAAACTTGAGAGGAACTGAATCTGCTCTTTTCAATTTTTTTTCTGCTCTTATTGAATGGAGAATTTTCCCTCCCCGAGTAAAATAGCTCTGTTTTTTTTGTCCAACAGGAGCCATAAAGTGATGTCTAAGCATACCATGACCAGGCATTCGCGCCGAGTTTAACTGGACACATGGGGACAGTTGTTTTGTACCACAGTGTGCAGAGAGGCGGGGGGGGCACAGAGGAAGCCATGGACGCCTGGCGACCCAGTGGTGACCCAGTGGCCTCCTCATGGAGGGGATCAGGGCCTAGATAGGGAGTCGGCTTAAGGTTAGAGGTTTAAGGGTAACAAATCAAGCAGCACTTTAATGGTATTTAACCCCTACATACCATATCTCTCCAACTGTTTGAACAGTGCATAAATGCAGGCCAAACATAGGAACACATATTTTTGTTTCATATGGGGAAGTTGTCTTAAATAACAGAAAATGAGGCGGTCGGATTTGGTGATTAATAGACTGAAGACAAAAGCTTTCCACTAACTTTGCACCTGAGGTCTGTTTTGACTCATTTCTATGCACAAGAACACGTGAAGCCTGCAGTTTGAAAGCACACTATGAACAAAAATAGTTCTTTGTGAATGTACTTTCTGAGGTGACAGCATGTTCTTCACCCTTTCACTTTCTTTCCTCTTATCGTTTTGTGTGCCATAAAGAAAGGGGCAGGACAGGGATCCCCTATAGGCAGTGCATATCTGCCTCTAAAGCCATCACTCAACTTTATGTTCACTTCTGGTTCTCCTAGCCCGGCTGTGTTTCTTCCATTAGTATCCACTCATAAAATGTATCACGGTTATAAAGATGTGCAATAGACGACTACTAGACAGTCACTTACCTTTACATGGTAATCAGGTGTTTCTACGTACCTGTCTTTTACCTCACTTGCCTAAACGTGCCTGATATATAAAGTTTATGATTTTGACAGTAACGTGGGAACATATTAAAAATAGTTTACACAACACATTTATTAATATTTACATGTACAAAATAACACATGGAAGTACAGTAGTTTTACTTTAAATTGTTACAGGTTAAATGTGGGACAGAATGCAACAAATGCTGATTCTAATAGTCTTTTTATTTATTTTTTATTACTGTGAAACAAGTAAAAAAGCTCCTGGTTTTGATATTTTACTAAGTAAACACACTGGTCAAGCAAACGTAGGTTCACAAATGCGAGGATAAGCTCTTCACTTATTTTATATCCTTTTAAAGTGAATACTGTTAGGCTACCACATTACTCCCAATTTCAATATGGCTTTGCTTTAGGCAAACTGTCACGGCTATGCTCATTATTTTATGACATTATGCAGTGAAAAATTATTAATATATTCAACGTAAAAAAATAGAAAATTATTCAATTTTGTTCACACCTATTGGAAATTCTATCAATAACTTTAACTCTACAGTAAACATGAAGCCAACAAATGTAAAAAAAAAAAAATTCCTTTTTTGTAAATGTATCAAAATTTGCTCTTAATTAGGTTAGTGGAACTTTGAATTTGAATATTAGTTGCGCAGTTAAGAAATAAACACTGACAGCAGCATGAACAGTTCTGTCAAGCATATGTGCTAACAAAAAAAAAAAGATTTTATAATGTGAAAAGGGTCACTGAGGGGCCAACCTTAATCAGAAACTATCCTGTTTATCCCGCTGGAGAGTGACTGAGAGGGCACTGAGTGACGCAGGTGAGAGACAGGCGTCACCCAGCCCCTAGACCGCACCTCTCTTATCTGCCTATGGAACGGAGGAGGAAGGAGTGACAAAGGCCAGGGCCTGAGCGTGATAAGGAAGGCCCTTATGTCCTGCTTCGGCCCTGGCTTGCACCGTAGCCTCCAGTGCAAGAGGCCATCCAAGGGCCAGGTGTTGACCACGACCAGAGCAGCCTCCCAGATCATGTTTTTCATTTACAGGTATGACTATGAGTGACGTCAGATATATAGAGAATGCTGGTGTGCATTTACATGCGGCCGCTTTGGAGCAGTGAATGAGAGGAAGAAAGGGAGAGAGAGAGCGAGAGAGAGAGAATGAGGGTCAGGTGAAGTTCAGGGCAGATTTTTTGCCAGTAGTCTCACACTGCAGGAAAGCCAAATTGCTTCCGGATCTAGGTATCCACCCCTGCAAAATTCAGTGTTCGTACCCTTCCCACCTCCTTGTTGTCATCCCTCTTTCCTCCCATTCATTCTTTCATCTGTACTTTGGTTTTATTCTTGCTTCTGATCTTTTCTCATTCTTTGTCTTTATTCTGGCTCTCAGGTGATCGGTCTTGTTGCGTGGCATGGCACAGGGTGACAATGTCTGTAGGGAAGCAGTCTTTGAGTAGGATACCTCTGTCTCTCTGGCAATCCAGCTCTCCAATAAAGCCATACCAGTAGATCACAAGGCCTGGACCAAACCTGCAGTGCACAAAAACAAAACAGACTGTTAGTACATTACCGCTGCTGTTTTCAAGAGTTCTCAGTGTGCAAATACTGAGATAGACTTTCAAATTCATATCTGAAAATGCTATTGACTTTGGATAGGAAATACAGAAAACATCAGGAATAGGTTAGTAAAGAGATAGAAAGATGGGACACTAGTGAGATGGATCTATGAGCGATAAGATGGCTTAGGTATTTTTCCTTTGATCACATCCAGGAAACTTGTGCTGAATCAAACAAAAACACCGCCAGGAAGATAAAGATCTTTCTGACAGGGTGATACACACTCAATCACATTACAATGGCAGTGAAATAACAATAATCTATCTATAACAAAGCACTACACCAAGGCCTCCGGATCCTGACATCAGAAGCCTTTGGTGCATAAGAGAGCATGCAGAGTTCAACACACTGCATATGGTGGTTAAGGTTAGCTAGTCAAACAGTGTCCAGCTGTTTCATTTACCTTCATTTTGAGGGGGAAAGCAATCTGCACTGCGGCAATAAAGATTGACTTTCCAAGCAAATGTGAGCTCAAATTAGGAGTGTTTAGATATAGGATGTTTTTGTTTATTTCCTTGTAGAACCTGTAGCAACTGTATCCCTAAAGATGTGAAAGATGCAGTAACGCTTTAAACAGAGGAACTCGTCACTTGGAATGTGCAACTACATTTTATTATTTCTTTTCAAAAAGGAAATAAAGCAGCTTTCAAGATATTTATTAACCCCCAAAGAGCCACCAGTGGCCCCTCTCTTCTTTGAACCTTAGCTGCCACGCATAAAGACGTGTCACAGTTGAACTCTTGAGTGGAGAGCACTGTAGCTGCTAGATGCTAGAGCAGATTCAGGGGGCTGACAGTACTGCTCTTCATCCTTGGACAGTTAACGCTGTTGTGGGGCCTCTGGAGGCCAAGACAGGAAGCTAGCTAAAGGGCCACAGAGAGCAGTACAAGTTCAGCTTCAAGGTAAAGTTCATAAAATCTTTTGACATTTTGGTTAGACTATAAGAACTATTATAGATGCTGTATTTACAGAAATCTTTAGTTTGCAATTTAAGAATTTACTGTAAACACACAGATTGCATTGTGACCACAGAAACAATAAATTCTCAGCCTTTGTTCTTTTTCCAGCTGTTACATATGTCTTGTTATAATGACTGGTCTCGAGGCAGTGCGCATGCTACATACAGTTCCCGTGTGCAGACAGACGCATGTACATGAAGATATGTGCACCTCCTTCTAAGCGGCCCTCGCAGTAGTGTACATGCTCCTACACCCCATCCCTGCATTCTGCGTTTTACAGCGCGTGATTTACGGTGCTGTATCTGTGAGCAAACAGGCCAAAGCCAACAGCCCCGAAGAAAGCCTGCAGATGCACGCTCTAAGTTCACCACAGTGTCACACACGTAGCTCACCCTCTCAACACTGCACAAAACTCAAATTCTCGCCATTTCCACGCTCCACTGCTGCACATGGCCGTCAACTCTTAATATGGAAATGTTTTGGAAACAAAACCTAAACATTTACATTAGGTGGCTTCAGAAAAGGGCTTATGTGCTTCTTTTTATTCTGCCGCCGTTCTCTTTGTATTTCCTGTGTTCTGGATGTATGCGTGTGTTTGGGGAGGGTGAGAAGCGTAGAACGGGCAGACTGGTCGGCACACACTGGAAAGAGGCAACCTTCTGAAAAGGTTAAAACTGCACATCAACAGATAAGGCAGCCGTGCACGATTCATCATGTCCCAGGTCTGTCAAGGGAGGCTGAGTACAAATTGAAACAAGCAAAATTATAAACACTGGGGAGCCATGTCACCAAGGCCTTTCCATACCGTAAAGAAAATAAATGGAGTTTGAATCCTTCTCAGGATTAATACAAGTCAATACTACTGGGACCTTGAGGTAAAAATCTTGGACTGGGAATAGTAACAATAACACTGAAGGGGGAAGGGAACGGTCAGGGGGTCAAGACTAAGTCTGATGGTTCCAGCATGATTTTCTTGTGAAAAAGTCTAAAACTAAGTAGAAAGCAAGTAAAAATACACAGCAGGGTGCTTTAGGCACTACTACTGCGCATATATATATATATATATATATATATATATATATATATATATATATATATATATATATATATATATATATATACTTCCTCTGAAGTTTGTGTGTTGGAACGCCGGAGGAAGTGAGTGGAAGTTCAGTTTAAATTTGTAGGCAAATTATGGTTTATTATGTGGGCTGGCTCATTTTAAGCTGGCATGTGCTTATTACGCACACCACCTCGAAGTCAGAGTCAACCATCTTCCAATAAACACCTCGCTATGTAACGAGTTGGTGAAATTGTTTGTGAAATGTAGCTAATTTCAGCAAGAGGGCCACTTGACGAGCCTGGGCGTGGATTGCGGGCTGCCAGCCGTGCTTTCGTTAGTGTTAATGAGCTGCTGGTGGTCGCATTTTAAAGCAGGTGCCAAGCAGCTTACTACAACAGCTTAATGAGAGCGAGGCAGTAAGAAATAGAAAAAAAAACATGAATGGAGAAGAGGGAGTGTTATTAGTATCTGCCTGTGCACACACAACATGCCATGAAGCCAGCAATACGGAATATAATAAACACATGCGTAAAAATATACCAACTCTACCCTTCAAATAATTTGCAGACTTATTTCTTGATTTTAGTTCTTGCTTTTCTCATTTTGGGGGGGAAATGAAAGCATGGCTGAAAGCCCGTAATCCATGCATGGGAGGTCAGGTAGTGTAACCTTTTCAAAAATCTCTGAGTTGAACATTTCTGCTCAACACGCAGATCAAGGTTAACTTCCTTTGCTACATTTGGTGGAAAAAAAAGAAGAAGCTTCAAGCACAACTCGGGTTCAATCACTTTTTCCAAAGTACATTACATGACATGACGAATTATCAATAAAATTGAGATGAATTTATGCTCGACTTTAAAATGCCCTCACTTCATTTTACACACCGCACAGGTCCACTTTAAACAAACACCCCAGCAATGATTTAGACAGTGCAAGCCTTCACCTGAGGGTGAAGTCTATGTCTCTGAGGTCTCTCCACAAAGACCTCTTTGTTTTCAGCATCCATACATCAGGTCACAAGGTAGGCAGCTAAAGCACTGCCAAACATTAGTGTTAGTCAGTCTTTTCTCAGTTTTCCCAAATGCCGTAATGGAACCCGCTCAACTTCTTTTAAGACAAAAAGCATTCAGACTGATTGTGAGAGAAGTACAGAGGCATAAAAATGTCTGTGTTGAAGTCTGACGAACTGCGTATGTAGTAAAAGACAGAGAATAAATGTGTAAAAGTAAGACTATTCTTTTGAGATCCCTTTGATAGATGTTCACCTATCAAAGAGTTATAAGAGTTTTCTTTATAAAAACAAAAACAAAAAAAGGTTAGATACTGGTGTTGTGATGCGTTATTATTTGCGAAAATTTACAGGGACGGCAGTGACCCAGAGCCTGCATGTCAGCAGGTGATACAGTTTTGCATGAATACTGTACCCAGCTTGTGTATTTTAATGACTTTGTAGTGCATTTTGCTGCAATTCAGCCAGACTGATGATGAAGACGCCCCTGACAAGTAAAACTGCTGTGCACAAGTAGGATATTTTAAGGCTGGTTCTACCCAGAGGGGTGTCCTCGAACAGGGAGGTAAATAATCCCTTGCTACAAACTATACATCCGACTGTCCATAAATAACAGGAACTGAATGGAAGAGTTAACCTCCCACAGACAAGTTATTAACATGACCATAGCTAAGAATAGAAAACATTGTTTTGGTTTTTTTTACTTTCTCCACCCCCTACTTTGTCTCATTGAGCGGTGAAAAAAAACTTAATTCAACTTAGGTACTTAAAACACAATTATAAAGCAACCGCAGCACACGATTGTACATTATTATCACCAAAACCTACGCAAGCGTCGTAATTAAGGAGGAACAGAGAAGAATGCGGTTAATCTTTGTCACCAGTGAAGAGCATGTCATATTCATATGCATATGTAGTTTTTAAGCTAGAGGTGTGGAGGTGGAATGTGTAAGTATGAGAGTATGAGAGATGTGGGAGGTCAGGTCGACTCAGTGTGTTGTCAGTTTTATGTTGTAGTAGGAGATAATTTATGCTCACTAATGCAAGATAACAATACCAAAACAGAGACAAGAGGATTCCAGAGCTTTACTTGGTAAACACAGCAACCACTTCTGGAGCAGGATGTAGCCTGCGCCCTTTAAGGGATCACAAAATTAGTTGATGGTCAACCAGATTCAGCTTTAGCAACATTTCAGTCCCGTCCTACAAATGCAAAAGGTGAACTTTGTGCTCATTAACTATAAATGTAAAATAGGGAAAATAATATACTAATATTTTATATTTTCAATTCACCAATAATGCTACTAAAAGATTATATGGACAAATGGTTCAGCAATTTGAGAACAAAGTGTAATACTGCAAAGAATTTGGGAATTTAAAGATTCTGGAGAGATTTGTGCACACAAAAAACTAAGGTTAGAGCTTTTTCTATATGATAAATAGAGAAAACTGCTTATTTTTAAACATATGCATCCATAATTGTAAAATGTTTTTTTTTCTCCCGTTAATTATTTGATCAGTTATCACTTTCTGGCTTCAAATTTCCCACAAGCTCCTATCACTTCAGCTACTTTCTCACAATAACCAAAACCTTATCACCGTACAGATACACAATCTGACATCCGACTGATACCTTGACTAACACATGATTATGTGAATGAGCAAATAAGCATTAACCTTATATTTATTTGCTGGCTCAATAGTAACTTACAGATATCCAACTTAATTACATTTGGTCCCAGTTAGAAACCATTCGCTCAATATCATGCTTCCAAAACATTCTCCAGCTGAAGGGAGGAGACTTAATCAGTGTTTTGAACTCGTTAAGTCCCTTAACTGAGCATGTCGCCTACCACATTAGCAACACATATCTGAGAAACAA